AACTATATAAACAACTTACCGTCAATAGTAGTTAGAATTGGAACTCTTGTCATCATACATAATTTAATAACAAAAGTATTACAAACAGATGGGAACAAACAGAATGTTCAATCAAATTAAATAACATTCCAGCAAAATTTACAAAAGCCAGGACAAGTCCAAATCGAGAGATTGTTAATTGATGAGTAAAATTAGAGTAATTGAAAATAAGTAGAGCACTCTGCAAATAAAATTACCCATCACTAGCGTCCGCTTCCGCCTCCCCCATGTACCGTGCCACGTCCTCGCTGCCTCAGCATCAAGATCATCAAGGCTTCTGGAGAGCGCTTGAGCAGCAACTCCCTCGACGACGTCTCCTTTATGCTCTGTTCAAACTTCCTCGGAGCCTGTCGCCACCTATGCGGTCGCCGACGACATCGTAGGAGCCTTTCGCCACCTATGCTCTTGTTTTCTTTCTTCCATTTTTTTTAAATATATAAAATTATTGAAATTTCCTAGTAAATAACTTTTTTTTTTTTGGCAGAACCATTTTTATGTCCAGTTTAGGGGACAATTTGACAAACCCCTATAGTTCAGGTGTTGGTTTGTAAAAAGATGTTTATATGATGATGCACGAAAATCGTTATAGCTCAGATGACAAAAAGTTTTTTTTCCTATTAATTATAAAAGTAATTGGAAACACGTGGAACCCATAAAAAAAGATATTTATGTGGTTTATTCTTATTAGAAGTTTATGAGTGTAGAGTATGAATAAGGTTTTGATTTATGTAGAAAAAGAAAAGAGATTTGTGTATTTGTGTTTAGTAGAGGTGTTCATGGTCTGGATTGGTCTGGTTTTAGCCCAAACCATGACCAAACCGAACCTAACGGTTAATTTTTTTTCTTGTCCATAACCGGACCGGTTTTATTTTTTAACCGACCATAATCCGGACCGCATTGGACAGTCCGGTTTGGCTGTTAACCGATTAAATCCGAAATCCTTGTTCTGGGCCTTCAATTTTTATTTTTTTTTTCATTTTGAGCTTAACTTTTATTTTTCACATTTGGGCCCAAAAGAGATTATTTGGGCCTAAAAATTAAGAAAACCAACAATAATAAAATTAAAAATACACAATTCGTCCCATAAGCATAAAAATACACATTTCGTGACTTTCTTGTTTGAATATATATATTTATTATAGTTTTTTAATATTTACCGATCCGGTCTGGTTAAACCGACTGATATAGCCATACTTGTGAACCGGAGTCAAGTATGAAGAGGTCCGAGCGAAACCGAGGAAGAGCAGCCTGAGGAGGTCTAGACGAGACATGAAGGTCTTTATGACTGAGTATGAGAAGCTCCACACGACTAAGTATGGGAAGTAGACATGCTCTCTGTGACTGAGCATGAGAAGCTCCACAGGACTAAGTATGGGAAGTAGACATTCTCTCTGTGACTGAGTATGAGAAGCTCCACACAACTAAGTATGGGAAGTAGACATGCTCTCTGTGACTAAGTATGAGAAGCTCCACACGACTAAGTATCGAAAGTAGACATGCTCTCTGTGACTGAGTATGAGAAGCTCCACACAACTAAGTATGGGAAGTAGACATGCTCTCTGTGACTAAGTATGAGAAGGTCGAGCTGTTCTAAGAAGATAAGTAGAGGTCACCTCGACCCGCTAGACTCATCTCGACCTGCTAGAGGTCATCTCGACTTGCTAGACTCATCTCTACCTGCTAGACTTGCCAGAGGTCATCTCGACCTGCTAGACCTTCTAGAGGTCATCTCGACTTGCTAGACTCGTCTCGACCTGCCAGACTTGCGAGAGGTCATATCGTCTCGACCTGCTAGAGATCATCTCGTCTCGACTGGACAAGAGGAGCTAGAGCTCATCTCCGCTACTAGACGTCTCTGTTACTAGAGGTCTCCGCTACTAGTTCTCTCCGGCCTCCGCTACTAGACGTCTTCTCTACTAGACGTCTCCGTGACTAGAGGTCTCCGCTACTAGACCTCTCCGCTACTAGACGTCTTCTCTACTAGACGTCTCCGTGACTAGAGGTCTCCACTACTAGACCTCTCCGCTACTAGACGTCTTCTCTACTAGACGTCTCCGTGACTAGAGGTCTCCGCTACTAGACCTCTCCGCTACTAGACGTCTCCGTGACTAGAGGTTTCCGCTACTAGACTTCTCTGTAACTACAAGAGAGAGGCAATAATTGGATAAGAAGGAATCTTGAGCTGACTAGGAGGTAGATGGAATGCAAACCTACCAGGGCATTTTGGACACTTCAGGTAAACCGACCGGGGCATTTTGGGTACTTCAAGCAAGTAGTTCCCTCTATATAAAGGGGCTGAGGTAACCCTAAACCCTAACCTCTACTCATTCTACACACTTTCCATCTCTCTGCTGTTGTTGCTCTCTAAGAGCAACTTTCTCCCCCACATTCTATGCATCTCTACATGCATCACAGCTATACATCACAGAGCTTCATCTTCCTCTCCTCTGTTTACTGACTTGAGCGTCGGAGGCCCGACGCCGGAACCTCTCCCAGCGTTGGGTTCTTGCAGGTGTTTGCGGCGGTCTAGCAACGATTTGAAGGCGGTTCAAACAGATCGGAGCTCACAACAACCGGTTTACTCCAGATCTGGAAGTAGACCCATCACCGACGGTTTGCCACAAGTAATCCGTTAACCGAACCAGTTATTCCGGATTTTTTAAAAAATTAATCACCGGATTTTATAAAAAAATTTTAACTGATCATTTAACCGATATGCGGTTGGTTTTTTTCGATTAAAATCGGATCGTGAACACCCCTAGTGTTTAGAAACGCTCTAAAAAGGGACTTCAATTTTCCTCCACGTGCTCTTTGTTCCTTTTCCCGCGCATAACTTTCTCACTTATTTACCCCAATTTTTCACTAAAAAAAATAAAAATAAAAAAGCCCTAGAACGAAGGTAGAATACTAGAATCACACGAAAAGAGTCCCATCCTCTGAAATGAACCTCGATTAACCTACCTTGAAGAATCGAAGAATGGCGAGCGACGTGGAGCGAGTGGAAGAAGCAGATGAGGAAGAAGAAGAAGAATCGGCGACCGAGCTGCTTAGGGACCGATTCCGACTCTGCACCATCTCCATAGCCGAGGCCGAAGGTTCCATCTCCATGGCCATTTACTTCGATTATATGTGTTAGCGCGAAATGATTGTTTCATTTTTTATTTATTTATTGTTTTTACTTTCTCTTCTGCCTCTATTCATTTTTCTGATCAGCTAAGCAAAATGGCATGGAGGTTTCTCAGCCAATCATGGCGTGCATCTCTGATTTAGCTTTCAAATATGCCCGTGAGTTGCTCTTAGTTCCCATGATTGTTTGCTTAATGTGTATGTCTGCGATTATGTCTGTATTATGAGAAGCAAGAATGTGACTTTTTTGGATTTTCTTTATTTACAATGTAATTGATGTCAGTGATACTGGTGGATTTGTTTTTCTGAATTCTGAGTTACTATGAGATTTGATAGACATGTTACTTGGCAAGTCGAATGCCTAACATGAGAAATATACGTAATATCATGTCTGTTTGATGCTGAGTTTGTTGCATGCAGATGGAATAGATTTCTATGCAGTGACTAAAAACGTACCTCAAATAAAATTTTGCCTCAAATAATATTCTAAGGCTCGTCGAGCATGGTAATTAGGGGATAAGCAAATTAATTATACATTAATTTTATGTTTATTTTATTGAGTTTAAAGTGTATCTGTGCATAACATATTTTGATTTGTAAGGAGTGGGAACAATTTCTTGAAAGAGTATGATAAGAACCGGATACACGGAAAGTGAGGAAAAGGAGAAAGGGCACGAGCGCTAGTAAAATAATTATGTGAAAGTACACAAACACAGACTCACACACAAGAAAACTACAATATCCTTTAATTTTATCCATATTTTATTTTGCTGCTCGAATTTCTTTACAATACATGCTCCAAAATTAGCAATTTCGTTGATGGGAAACTATGAACCTCTCCTTATATTATGGCTAGTTTCAGCTGTGTTGTTAAAACTTGAAATACTGATCATCTTTTTTCTCGAAAAGCAGAACAGTTGGCGAAAGATCTTGAACTATTTGCACAACACGCCGGTCGCAAGTCTGTCAACATGGAAGATGTCATACTTTCTGGTAAGATCCCTTTCATGATAGTTGTGTGGGTTGGGGAGTCTATTGCTCTAAAATACAAAACAATCCTCAAGGGTTCGTCTGCAAGTATATTAGCTAAAACTTTGTTTATAAGTAGCTTATCAGAGTCCACCATGAAGCTTAAATAATGACTGATTCTCCCTGTATGCTTTTTCTTAGTATCTTTGTAATTATAAAATATCCAGGCACAGTTAAATTTATTGCTATGGCTCTTGTTATGATTCTAGTTTGATGTTTTGTTTTCGACTTCCTTCGTTTATTTCAGCACATCGTAATAATCACCTGTCAGGCTTGCTGAGGTCGTTCAGCAACAATATAAAAGCCAAAGAACCTCAGTCAGAGAGGAAGAGAAAGAAGACCGCCAAAAGGGAAGACAAAGCTGTTACAGATGTGCTTCATATTGCTGATTGAAATGACCATTTCTTTCTCTTTTTTATTTGTTTTTCTTGAGCATTTAGAGGTAGCAAATGGGGGAACAGAAAGTGGAGGAAAAAAAAAAGAGAGAGAGAGAGAGAATGAAACACGTGCTAATATACTAACAAAACCAATTAGGGATTGGTAGTTTCTTATAATTTGTCGCTCACATCGTAACTCATTTTGTGAGAAGTATTGTGTCGTAACTTGTCTTAGCCACTTACTAGTTTACAGTTTTTGGTTTCTAGACATGGGATTGTAGTTCTGAAAGGATCAGAAAGCAGAGGAAACATACTTTTATTCCAAATATATGAGAACATGGCAATCCTCATTTCTCGAGTCCCTTACTTTCGGCCTTTTAGAAAAAATTATGTAAATTACATGTAAATAGGCTTATGTCTACCATAAGATCCTCAATAATGGCTGTGCTTTTGTGGTTCCTGGCATACTCTGCTATTGAAATCTCCATCCTTACCTCAGATTTGATTAGTAGAAAATTTTTCATGATTATTTGCATTTTTATGAATTTGTAGAGGTGAATACTAGTGCTTCTAAAATCATTTTATTTGTCTATGATTCAGCTGAACATGTGTGTATAATTTCAAGAAAGATGTCATTTTGCTTCAGAATTAAGCCAAAAAACACTGCCTAGCGTCTTTTGAACTGTATCGATGGCATAATCTTCACGGGAGAAGGGTTTGTAATACATTTTGGGTAATGTTTGAAATTTATGATTGATGTGGGATGAATATTTAATAATTACTAATTAGATTTTTTTTTTTTTTTTTTTANACAAATAAGACTAGAAAACAACTACTCAGCCGAATAAACAGCCAACAGCGGAATAAAATAATTAAATCGCTGAATCTAGTTGGAAGGACTACACAAAAAAAGGGTAGCATAAAACCAACTTAAAAATAACACAAAATACTAAACGCATTCTCAATGGGAGAAAAATGAAACACAATCTAAACACAAGAGCACAAAACACAAAAAACAACTACAAAAACTCTTCTCGCAACAAGAAGGTTAACCAAAGGAAACGATATCGACACCAACTGACATTCATCTACACGGACAGGGTCACGGCCTAGGAACCCGACCAAAAAACTGAAAGAGAATGCCTAACAAGGTCCGACACCAACGGAGCCTACCCCCATCCAAATGACATCCCACCCATGCCCGGAGGCCTTATCCCCCACAACCACCTGGCCCGACGCCACAAACTCAGAAACCAACAACAGAAAACTTGGCCACAACCCACGACGCCAACTGTCCCCTCCGCCCAATACCAGGGCCGAAGGCGACCAGGGTTGAAAGGGGCAAAAACCCACTACTCCAAAACACCAGAGCTGAGAAATTGAAGTCGCGTCCCGCTCCTGAAGAAAATTCGGAAGACCTCCGTAGTGAAGAATCTCGGAAGTCGGCCGCCTGCCCGCCACATCTCCCAAGCACCAAAATCACGGTGAAACCGAGACTAGGACGAGTGCTTCCTCCTCCCCGGGGACAAAGCCCACCTCCTGGTGGCGATTCTTCAGGAGATGGGCCGCTAGGCCCAGGGGTGTCACCACCGACCGGTCGGAGAGTCCCATACAAAATTTTCATTTAGTATATTATTAACTATCAATTAATATTTATTATTTTTATATCATATCAACTGATATAGCATACTCAGACAGACCGAATACAATGGCTCGACCGGGTATCAATTAATACCCATGTCTTGTCATTCGAATTATTCAAGCATTGAAGATAATAAAAAATCGATCTTTTGATCACCAATCCCGTGTTTTAGAGTTCTTTCAATTTTTATCATACAACCGTGTAGAAAGAAGGCCCTTAGCGTGCCCTTCGATACAACTATCGCAAAGATCAAGACGCTTGGTGCAGGTTCGACGCAAAATATGGTATCGAGAGACACGATCTTCATCAGGGTGGCCGGACGTCGGGTTTTGGTCGCCGTGTGCGATGACGAGGCTGACGTCCCCGTCCCCCACTCCCCCAATCCCTTGTGGAGTAGCGGCCGATTCTTCTTCTATTCAGAGTGGGTGGTTCTTATTATTATTATTATTATTATTATTATTGTTATTTTTAATTTAACACTAGAGTAAAGGTATTGAAGCTGCCGTTATAAAGATACTAGTATAATACCCGTGTACTACACGGTACTTGTTAGGATTTTTTTTTTTAAAAAAATTAAAATTAAAAAAAAGTTTTAATTTTCAAATATTTTTTTTAAAAACTAAATTTTATTTATATATGGAAAACCCGTCACTTATATGACTTGACATCTTATGCTATAATAACTTTTTAACTTATATCATATAATTAATTTGAAGGTAAATTAATTTAAATTATTTTTTCCAATTAATATTAATATATAATTTATTTTTTATTATAAAGATAAATATAATTATTTATTTATTTTTGTGTACAATACATAAGTCAAATTGAATATCATCAAATATGATTAATTTTATATATTATATATAAAAAATTGATAATAAATAAAAAAATTATTAACTTTTAAATATATTTATAATTAGAGTTAGCAAATTTTTTATAATTATAAAAGAAAGATGAAAGAAAAAAAAATATTGGAGAAAAAAATTATGCCTTATAAATCACATATAGGATAAGAAACAATATTAAAATTAATGCTCTTGAGAGTGATCATAAATATCTAGTATATATATGAACATTCTAAGCCTAGTTATTTTTGGATTAAAAATAAATTATAATTTATTCAAGCATATAACAAATATGAAAACTTACTAGGATTCCAAAGCGAGTCTGGGCATTCGAGAATTAGATATAAGGAATAGATGAAATCCAAATATGAACCTATATAAATCGTAATTGGTAATCAATAAAATCGGTGAGAAAAATCATTTTTGAAGTACATTGTATCCTTATAGTTGTTGAAGCTGCCATTAAAATAGTTATACTCAGCACTCACATCTCACCAGTATCAACTAGTTTCTACTTCGCTAAAATTTGGGGGTTTAGGGTTTTCCGTGCGCACCAAATTTACGGGAGGGTAATTTGAAGAGATAGAGGAAAGGGAATGGACCCAGAGGATATCGATAAAGTGGTGCTCGCCTATTTGGATAAGAGGGGTTTTAAGCAAGCTGAGCTCGCATTACAGCAGGAGAAACAGCAGCAAGGCAAAGGCAACGCCTCGATCGCCCAAATTGACTCTGATATTGCCAAACAAATCCTTGCCTTTGCTGAGTATGAGAAAATTTTATACTAATTATGCTTATCTTTTAGCTGTTTCTGCTTTGATGTTACTTGTTAATGGATGTTACTCAAATTTATACATATTTTTATGGTATGACCGAAATTCAGCAGTCAAGTGTGTTCATGAAAAGCATTAAGAGAAGGCAATTTTCCATGATTAGTGATGTTTTGTGTAAAGTTATCATCTTTCTTGTGTATTTGTGAATTTATTGATGATTCTGATCAAATTACTGTTTTCAGAGTGGATAGTCCCGCGCAGTACCATGAAGGGTATGGCAAACTTCGATCATGGGCTTATAGTTCACTGGATCAGTACCAGGTTATAGCAATTCTTTTAATTAACTTGTTATTGCTTTACACGTTTTATCATATGTGCTCTGTGTTACCTGTCTGACAGATTGTTCTCACTGATAATTTAAAGATCCATTTACCTAGATGACATGTATTTGGATATGTGGGTACTGGGTATCCATTTAACCTTTTGAGGACCATGGACAGTGATATCCGCTAGGATATTGGATGTGATGGGGTGTGCCTTGATAAATTAGTCTAGAAATAAGAAGTCAAAATCCTAGTTCCTAAAACACAAAATTACGTATGATTTATGACAATATGGTTATGATTGACCGTCATCTACATGATGATATAAAAATAAAGTTGTTTCTTTGAGTTGAATAGAGCTCAATTGGTGATCGAATTTCGAAAGTATAGTTCTCTTTCTGTTTGTGCTTTTGTAGTTACTTGCCATTTTGTTGTGGAATAAGTAGAACTCGTGCTATCAGTCACCAATGAGGAGTAACATTGTTATTTCATGCCTTCTACAGCAGATTTGACTTTTAAATGTGTGACCGTTTACATTACTTAATGTCATACAGCACGAGTTGGTCAGAGTTTTGTATCCGGTATTTCTCCATGGATTTATGGATCTTGTTGCGAAGGGACATATTCAGGAAGGTATGCTAATATATTATGTTTTACATTGTTTCATCTTATCAGGGCAGCCTATTGACAAGATTCATTTGCTTTGCAACTGCATAATTTTTAATGGCTGAAATATAGTATTAGCGTTTACACTTTCCTCAGGGCACCCTATTGAAAGTATTCATGTTCTTTGCAGCTCGAGATTTTTTTAATAGCTTTCGAGGAGACCACGAGCTGACGCATTCACGTGACCTCCAAAAATTAGAAGGGGTTCTTTCTCCCTCTCATCTAGAGGTCCATTACTTTCCCTGAATGATGACTTAAATTCATAGTTTGACGTATCTGTGCGCTATCCGTCCTTAAAACATCTTCTTTCATGCAGGAGATGGAATTTGCACATACTCTCAGGAAGAGCAAAGTTAGCATTAAGATATGCCAAGTAATCTCTCTCTTCCTCTCTCCCGTCCTGTCTCTATGCATTTGTTTGTCTTCTCGTCTCCAATGCTGTGTACCATCACTTATGCAAACTGTACAATTCTATGCCAGAAGTTGATGTATAAAATTTTGGGTGGTTGTGTTTTATGCATATGATGCTTCTAGTCGATTTTACCAGAAAGTGGTTGAACTGATTTTAGCAGAATTGCACAGTTTGCATAAGTTGAGCTGCAACCTAGGGTGCCCGTAACATATGCAACTGTTTAAATTTCTTCAGTGATACAAAAGAAGTCACTAATTCTACATTTCTACTTTACATGTAGATACTCTGAATTGGGTATGATTATTAGATATAGTCTTACATTTGTTTTTACTTGTCAATTTAGTACTCCTATGACCTGCTTCTGCAATACTTGCACAAGTCTCAGTCAACTACGATGCTTGGAATCATCAACGAGCACATCAACTTTCAAGGTGCATTTCCTACTCTTAGTCTTACTGATTGTTTCCAAAGCTCCCTGCTTATTTTATTTATTTGTTTATTTATTTATTTTTTACTTGCTACAAATTCTGTTTTTCGTGTGAACATTATTCTGATGATCCAACAGTTTGTCCTGGACAACCAAGCTCAATTGCTGATGACGCAGAATTTGTTACCCTTTTTGGAAGTGACCAGGATGCAGCTAATTTGATAAATCAGAAAGAGATACATTGGGGGGTTAGTTGGCAACAATATGCCCGTTGATTCGTGAAAATATTGTCTTAATATCTGTTTTAAAGAGTTGCCTTTCTTTTGAGGGAAATATCAAGTAAAATGTTTGTCATCTTCATAATTTTATCCTTATAATGTTGCATTTATTTTATAGGATAAAAAAATATATTCAAGTCGAGCAGTGGACGTGTTATTTGACTTTTAATATGTTACCTTGGAAAAGATAAGATTAACCTGGTCCACTGTTTTTTTTATCAAGGCCTTTAGTAATAAATGAAGCATAATTGATTTGTTTCAGGCACACCTTGGTGTCTTGCTAGCAGGAATAATCAATATAATCTGTTATATGTCTCAAATAAATTTGCGGTTCTCTCAATTTTCTGCTGTCACATTTGTTTAAGCAATCTGCTATCAGGTATAAAATGCCAAGAAGCTATCTATTAAGAGGTTCTTTTATCAATAATCTGTTCATAGTTTAGTTATTTTCAGTAAACTAGAGTCAGTTTCCTGCACATGTGCTCATATCAGTCTTCCGTATGGTACTTCATCGTGTTGATTCGAAACAAGGTCACGTCTTTGTGTGTGGATGAGTTTATAGAAATATATACAGATATTTGTCTGTAGAAGGTTTCATGAGTTAGATATTTTAAATTCATGTGGTTGAACTGATTTGGATATTTTGAGCTGGGTTAATTTTTTTCTGTGTCTATTTAATTTGTTCAAGCCTCATCTCATGTATTTCCTCCAAGAAGGTTTTAGTTCCTTGTAAGAGTCTTTAACAGGCATTCATTATCTAATGAAAGGGTCTCTTTTCTTTGTGTTGGTACCATCGTCATTATCAAAACAAGAACATTGCTTCTTTGTCTGTGGACGGTTTATTAGAAATATATACATATTAGAAATATATACATATGTTTGAGATCTTGAGCTGGGTGCTAATTATTTTAAGCATCTATTTAAATTGTTCTAATTCTCATGTATTTCCTCAAAGAAGCTTAGTTTCTTGTGAGAGTCTCTTTAATAGACATTCTTTATCTAATAGTAATTACATTGTGGCAGTTGCTTGAAGATTCTTTGGAAGAAAAGTTGGAGAAGACAAGCGTCTCTAACGTGGATTCAGAAAAGGCAGATGGAGAAATGAGAGAAGGGGAACTGGAAGAGAATAAGGCTGTTAGTATCTCTTAAAGGCTCTATTGCTATCTCAAATTCTTATACTGGCCGAAACAAAACTTTTCTAGTTCACTAACATTTTGCAGCTGTCATTCCCGTTGTCCAGAAAAGACCAGTCGATGGTGGCAAACAAGGAGCTACACTTAAGAAGCAAAAGAAGGATAAGGTTGCAGGTTCCACAACAAAAGCCAATCGTTCGGACAATGCCACAGTTTCTGGAGCACCACGTGTCAAACCAGAGCTGGCCTTGCCAGTAATGTATATCCCAGAATCTTGTGCAGTTATGCCTTTTCCTGTTATTGTCATTTCTGTCATTATTGGCTGTAGGTCAATGTTGATCCTTTTCCTTCCAGGGGGCACATAGTAACTTAAGTAGTAATAACTTTCACTTGTGGACATGCTCTTTTGTTCACTATTTTTCTAGTAGTAATGCACACTCAGCTCCGTGGATCAACAATTCGTTTGTGCTTTAAGTTAATGTGAAATACTGCTTGTGCAGATATCTCACATTACCCATTGGTAACTCATTAGTTGTTCCTATCCTAGTCTAGCTGTGAGATTAATACATGCAATCTTCCAGCAATTGCCACACAATCTAAATATTACTGGACCAAATTTGAGTAGTTGAATAGGTTTCACAACCCCCTAACTGTCATTTTAGAATCTGGATTTGGGAATAAACAATCCTGCTGCTTTCGGACTTAAAATTCTTTTTTGGAATACCCAATTTTTACATGTAAAACCAAGTTGTGTAGCTTGTGGTTGGATTGTTTTCAAGTATTTTAGTTAAATGGCTGGGGAGTGGTGGTTGTAGATACATTAGTATTTCTTCTGCCTTTATGATAGATGAAGAGAAAAGGAGTTAGGGGAACATGCTAATGTTAGTTTTATATTTGAATGGTGCTGGGCGATCCAGAAATTTTATCTAAGTTTTCTTTGATGTAATAATATAATATAATATTAAACGTTAACTCTTATAATCATGGTTACAAACTACAATGCTACTCATTATTTTATAGATGAACATTATTTTGAGGTAGCTTCACTATAAACACGAAAACCAATTAATCTAATTCAGTGTCTCAATTTGAGGTATGACACACAAACCCATCCAGAAAAGGAGTAATTTTAAAGTTTTATCATCATAGAGGAGTAAATACCATTCTAGAAGTTCTTAGATGCTTCGGTATTTGCCTATTTTTCTGTCGATGTTCCGCTGAGTGATGTTTAACTAATCTTTCTGGCTAGTCTTCTTGCTAACTGGAATACATAGATTTTGTTATTAATAATTTTGTTCATGTTTTGTCAGAACGGAAGATGTGGAACATTCTATTCTTGAAGACTTGAGAAACCGTGTTCAGTTGAGTAGCATGACATTGCCTTCGGTCAGTTTCTACACATTCATCAACACACATAACAGGTATGCTTTCCATGCAGGAAAAAGAAAATACTTTGATTTGGTTCAGTATATTGCTTTACTATTGTACTAATACCCCTTGAACTCTTATATCATTGCCACAGCCTGAATTCTGTTTCAATGTCTCATGATGGATCAATGGTAGCCGGTGGATTTTCGGACTCCTCATTAAAGGTTGATCGCTTTTCTGTTTTCTTTATTACCTCTCTCTCATTTATGCACTGACTGAAGGCCAAGTTGGAAGCAGGTTTGGGACATGGCAAAGCTTGGGCAACAAAATGGAAACTGTAAGTTGATCTTTATTTCGTTACACTCTTTCATAAAGTTATGTGGAGAAATTTGCTTATTAATTTTATTTTATTTTTCCGACTCTTGCATTAATTTTATGTACTTCAGTGTATATATATATATATTGGCATCTTCTGTTGATTATGGTTCTAGGGCATGCCTAGAAACAACTTAGAACTTCACCCTGTGAGGTGGGTTCTAGAAGGCAGCTCAAAAAGATTTCAATTACAAAAGAGCATGTTTTATTCTCTTTGGTGTTATTGTGTCATATTGCATATTCTTGTCATTTCATGGTGGAAACATACACATATTTGTAATGGCGTTCGGACATTGATTCTAGTAATATCAGCCCCATTGCAGGGTGAAAACGAGGTGGTGCCGAATGAGCATATGCCTGGATCAAATGCTGGGAGAAGACCTTACACTTTATTTCGAGGTCACTCTGGGCCTGTTCATTCTGCTACTTTTAGTCCTTTCGGGGATTACATTTTATCATCATCATCAGATTCTACAGGTAAGTTATCTTTCCAGTTGCTCCTTGTGATTTGTTCATATCCCGTTTTCTTCTGTCTCATATGTATAACAGTGACCTCTAATTGCAGTAAGATTGTGGAGCACGAAATTTAATGCGAATCTGGTTTGCTACAAGGGTCACAATTACCCTGTGTGGGATGTCCAGGTAGAAAAGAGAGCTTCAGACATNTGTTACTATCAACTGTTGCCCAGCACAATGCGCAGGAAGAAAAATGTTGATCCCTTCATTGAAAAATTCAACAGCGCAAGTCATTAAAGTATGGCTCAGCTGGTATAGGTTATGAATTATTGAAAGTAAATAATAAAAGGGCTGAAAAGAAAAAAAAAAGGAGAAACATAGGTTCAGTTCCAGTAACTGATAGTCATGATTAAGTATATTCTTTTGGCGATCACTAATGATTAAGACTACCCTATAGTTCTACCGCTAGGAAATCAAGCAGTAAAAAGTCTTTTTCATCTGGTTATTATTTGGAGTTTATCCATTGGATTTGGATGGGATACTGTCTTTTTCTGCATTCTTTCATTTTTGCCTGTCTTCATTAACTTGTCTGCCCCTGCCAGTCCTAGTTCTGTTTGGCTCAGGGTAACTTCACCTTAAAGCTGGTATATTTACTTGTGCTTTTTATTCATGAAAAATGTATGTGCGCAATAATTAGCTTTCAAATGATATCCATAGATTATAAAAAAATGTATTAATCGAGTGAATTTTGGTCCAATAGAATCAGTGTATCTTTGAATCACTTCAAAAAAAAAAAAAAAAAAAATNAAAAAAAAAAAAAAAAAAAATACTCAATCAGATGCAGTAATCTCATTTCATCTTTTATGAACATTATGTTTCCATTATAATGTAAACGACTCATGCTTCTGCAATCCAATGCAGTTTAGTCCAGTAGGACACTATTTTGCCAGTGCTTCACATGATCGGACAGCAAGGGTCTGGGCTATGGATAGAATACAGCCATTAAGAATAATGGCAGGTCATTTATCTGATGTTGATGTAAGTACATTTTTTGTCTTCTGCTGTATTTCTCCATTCCAATCTCTCTCTCTCTAGACATAATATATATCAACATCTTCTTGTATATATTATTAGATGTATGTATATATCCCATTTGCATTGTGTTAGTGAGTGGACCTGGATGGGTCATTCATAACAACTTTTGGTTTTGGCCAAGAGTTACCCTCTGCCATTGGACCTGAATTTTGCTTACTACCTGCAAGAAATAAAAAAGAAAAAAAAGCTCCGTATGGAAAGTTCATAACATTATTAATTTCCAAAAATAAGTGTTTCCCGAGACAAGACTACAATAAAAAGAACTTTTGGGAATTTCTTAATGTCTGTCTATGCTCTCCAAGATTCATAAATATTTGTGTAACTTAACGAAGGAACTAAACTGGTTCTTATTTGTGTATATTAACACCGAAATCTGGTAACAATGTGATGAGATGGGTTTATGCATGCTCACATATTTGTTTGTATTATTATTAGATTGTTGGTATCTTGTATATGTAGAAGTGTAGAATGTAGAGAATGATTTATTTAGAGTAAAACATTGGCTGCAACGTGTACTATACGTATTTTTGGACTTCGCAACCTATAGTAAATTGCAATATGAACTTCATGAACATTCATAATTTACAACCTCGTCTACATCTTGACCATACAATCATCCGCAAAAATGAACACGTGTATGGTCATGATGTAGGCGATGTTACAAATTATAAATGTTCATGAAGTCTAACTTGCATTTTGCCACAAAAAATACTATATGTTGCAAAGTCCAAAAACATGTGTAGTACAAGTTGGAAAAAAATATTTTACCCATTAATTTAAATGGCAACAGACGGGGAGATGTTTTGTTGTGGAATTGAAAATGATACAGCTTAGTAAATATATGATGAGATTGGTTCAAATAATGAAGGAAGACTTTTCGTTAATACAAGGCCTTCCTTTACTTTTACAACACATCATGCATATATGTAGGCATATTAAGACATGGCAGTATGACAGTTAATTATGCTCTAGATATTCCCATCTCTATCATTGACATAATACATTTATCTATTTTATCTAAAGTTTGTCCAGATCCTTTTTTCTCAGACTATGCAACCAATGTATAATTGAATCCTATTCTAGATTCATCTTTGGATGGTTGTGCATATTATATTATCTAGAGAATGAGCACCAATGTTTAACACTCCCGCTTTATGTTCAATTGTGTAATTTTGTATCGGCAGTTCTTTCATGAAAATATCCACTAATTGGTCCTCTATGAAGACATATTTGAGCTCTATTTGTTTGTTAGTTTTTTCTCGTAGAAAGTGATTTGATAACAATGTGTTGTCCTGGAATTTTTGGCCATTGCTATCGCCGACTTATTGCCACATTATATCTCTTTAGTGTTTTTTTTTTAGAAGTTCCCTCACATATCCAAAAATTCATCTTATCCAAATAGCTTGACTTGTTGTAGAATGCTGCTGCGTTTAATTCAACATCTTTCCAAGATTGCATTTAACATAAATATATTCTTTTACTGTGATTGTATGAGCTATATTTCCTTTTCCCCCTCGTTTAGTGTGTGCAGTGGCACGCCAACTGCAACTACATTGCGACTGGGTCCAGTGACAAAACCGTGCGGCTTTGGGATGTTCAGAGTGGGGAGTGTGTTAGGATTTTCATCGGGCATAGGAGTTCGGTTTTATGCCTGGCGATGTCACCTGACGGCCGTTACATGGCGTCTGGTGATGAAGACGGCAAGATTATGATGTGGGACCTCTCTTCTGGACGATGTGTATCCCCTCTGGTTGGCCACAGCTCTTGCATATGGTCACTCGCTTTCAGGTAGGAAGCACTTTCGATTTTATTTTTTTTATTTTTTATTTTTATTTTTTTTGTGTGTTGAGCCAATAAAACAATGTGATTTACATATAATATAAAACTCAAATTTTCTGACACAAGTTTTTGCAATGAAATTTGCTGAATGATCTAAACAATCAATAGAGTTCTTGGAGGGGGTTCAAAGTTAGATGCAAAAATAATTTTGTTTTTGACTCAAAATTTGGGCTGTTGTTGATTTATATTTTTGTTGGAAATATGCGACTAAAAAAATTTAGTGTTAGGGTAATCTGATCATAAGGTGGGAGGTGGCTAAACCCCTCAACCTGATTAGGGAAATCCCCAATTTTCTTGTAAAATTACAACCCTCAGAGGTTTTGCGATTTCTAACATAAATAGTTGATGCGGATTCGTAAAATGGAAACAAATATCAGGATTCAGGGTGTATATTTGTAATTAGATTAAAAATGGGATGTCTTTCTTTATTTAGTTTTTTTTTAATGATTTTAAAAATTGAGAGCATTTGTTTATTAACCTTTCTTTAATGGTCACACATTGCTTTGAAACCGGAGGTGTCCATTTTTTTTTTTTTTTAATTTTTATTTTTACTTTTCCCTCCCAAGCCATGGAACTAATGGTAGGAAATTATTTCAGCTGTGAAGGTTCGCTTCTAGCATCTGGCTCTGCCGACTGCACAGTCAAGATATGGGACGTGGCCACAAGCTCAAAGGTCAATAAAACAGAAGAAAAGTAAGCCTTATCTAGCTATAATCTGCTTTGAAGAATTATAAACTTTCACCCATCTTTATGTTCATGATTATTTCTCCTAATTTTTTGGTTTTTTTCCCAACAGCAAAAGTGGAAGCACGGGCAGGCTCAGATCATTGAAGACACTACCCACTAAATCCACCCCAGTATACGCGCTGCAGGTAAAACAGAGAGCCAAGTTTAGTTTTCATTCCTCATTCATTAATCGAAGTTTGATTCAACTGAAAATAGAGTGCCAATTGAGTTTTAATTCCTCATTCATTAATCAAAGTTTGATTCAACTTTTTTTTTTTTTGGGATTCTTTTGCTTGCAGTTCTCAAGAAGGAATCTTTTATTTGCTGCTGGAGCTCTCTCAAAGCAATCATAACTCTTTAACTTGTTAGGTCTCATGACCTGTGGTAAATTTTCGAAGAAAAACCATAAGTCTTTCGTGGTCTGGTCGTACATTTTGCTTTCAGCTCCTTGGATATTTAATCTATTTTTGTTTGTGTAATGTTGAGATTTCTATAGCAGTATAGTTGCAGAACTAACTAGTTTTACCCACTCCCCAGAGTAGTGAACTGAGAAACTTCATTTCCATGTTGACCTGTCCAAATTATCTTTTGAAAAAGATGGTGTTTGTGGATAGAACTGTTCTTGCTCGTCAAGATTGTTTCATTAACACTATTTTCCTCTTACCTGTTGACCCTGACATTTTTGGTTAACAAGTTGAGCTCGACCATGTTATTTTATAGTTTTTGTGTTAAAAAGTTTTTGTAGAAATTAAAAGATATAATAAATGATTGATATATATATATATATATATATATATATTTATTTATTTATTTATTTATTTAAATAGGAATACCATTTTCTTTCTTTTCAACACTCACTTTGAATGTGATCATATATTTAGGGCGTGTTTGAACATAAAATAATTTAATTTATAATCAAAATCTAACTCAACTTTAATTGAATCTCACTATCTCAATATTATCAATATAATTAAATAATATATATCAATTATTATTACACATTATATCAACTTTAATTCCTTATTTATCTACACATATAATTTTAACTAATCATCATTTCACAATATTTTTTAAACTTTTACATTAAATCAACTTTAATTATTTTATATTAAATATTATGTTAATATAAATTTAAAATTTACACTAACAATAAATTATAAAACATTTTTTAAAATTAACTATGATTAAGAAAAAAAAATCGTTTTAAGTAGATATATTTGTATCCAAACGTAGGGCTGACATTTTTTGACGAAAAATCGAACCGAACTGAATAGAACCGTACCGATTCATTTAAAACGGTAACTGATTATCGATTACTTACCGATATATTATCGGTTCGGTATCGATTATGAAAGGTTCTGTTTTATCGAACCGAACCGAACCGAACCGAACCGATAAGAAATTAAAAAAATATAATAATAATAATAATTATAATACTTAATGTTAATTAATAGTTAATAACATAATACTAATAATAACTAATAAGTATAATAACTTATAAGTAATACGCACAGTCAGCCCTCTCAAAGTCTCACCTATTAACAAAAAAAAAATAAAAAAAAATCGGCCCTCTCATCTCGGTTCACAGAACACGCTCGCTTCCAACTCCAAGTTCCAACCAGCAGATTTCGCGCTCGCTCCTCACTCTAATCGACACCGGCACCGGAATTCTCTGGCAGGCGAAACTTCAATAGAATTCTCTCCAGCACCGGCGGCATCACAAATTCAGCATCAGGTACTGAAATTCGTGGAATTCAAGTACTCTTCAAATATTGAAATAATGAAATTCGTTTCCCTTTTTCTGAGTGTACAATTTTTGATGATGGTGTTTGTCCTAATTTTTAATATTGGTGTATTGTCCTAATTGGGATGGAAGAGAATATGTGAATTGTGGAAATTCTACTAATTGAACTCTGGAATGAAATTTCTTGTTGAAATGTGGCTCGGTTTATCGGTTGTATTATTGGTAAATTTTGATTTTTTCATAAAAAACCGTTATGGAACCAAGCTTAATCAAATTGCATTATTATTGGTGAATTTTGATTATAACCGAACCCATACCAGCCTTATCCAAACGTTACACACCCCTAGCTAGTATGGGTGTTCACGGTCCGGATTGATCCGGTTTTACCCCAAACCACGACCAAACCGGACCTAACGGTGAATTTTTTTTCTTGTCCATAACTGTACCGATTTTATTTTTTAACCGACCATAATCCAGACCGCATTGGACGGTCCGGTTTGGTGGTTAAGCGGTTAAATAAAAAATCCTTGTTTTGGGCCTTCAATTTTTAATTTTTTTCATTTCGGGTTCAATTTTTATTTTTTTTAATTTCGGGCTGAATTTTTATTTTTCAATTTTGGGCCCAAAAGAGATTATTTGGGCCTAAAAAAAAAAAACACAATTCACCCCATAAGCATAAAAATACACATTTCGTCCCATATACATAAAAATACAAAAATGATGAAGATAAAATTATGCAAACTGAACCCAAGCAAACATTCATTTTTCAGTCAGTTTATACACCTGAAATAATAAGAGCAAAGCATAGTGAATGTATCGTATTTGTCAGCCATAGTGAATGACTGAATGTATAAATATATCTTTGTTATAGTTTTTTAATATTTACCAGTCCGGTTAAACCGGCGATTTGCCGCAGGTAATCCGTTAACCAGACCGGTTATACCGGGTTTTTAAAAAAATTAACCAACGAATTTTTAAGATTTTTTTAACTGACTATTTAACCGATCCACGGTCCGAATTGATGGTTTTTTGCGGTTAAAACCGCCGTGAACACCCCGCCACATATTCATATTTTTGGCTACCTCACTTGGTAAATAAAATTTATGAAGCAAAAAGAAATTTGTCAAGCCATAATGTATTTCCCTTTTTAGCCCCACAGGAATTTATATTCCCAAGATTGCCTTATACTTCTCCATTGTCTTCGTCCTGGAGCTTCTCACCGACTGACTAAATCATCATCCAAATCAAGAAAAAAACCCTAAACCCATTCGACTCATCCAAAATTTCATGCGGATTTTATTTAATTGATTCAGGATTAGGACATAGAAATCATACCTAAAAGTAATGAAGGAAGTAAAAGATCAGTGAGGGAAAAAAAAGACGAAAAGTTGCAATGGAAAAGCTTTTGGAATTCGGTAGGAAAGCGATGTTCTATGTTAGGGTTCTTTCGGGATATGAAGAGCGCAAAATCAGATCTTACAGACTGCAGCTCCAACAACGCCTTCAACAGGTAAATCTCTCTGTGTGTGTGAATTTTATTCGTCTATTTATTTATGTTTCATTTCGGCCATTAGGATGGAATTCATTAGTAATGTTTGTGAAAATAATTAATGATTTCGTATTCATTTTTAACGATTGAGAAATGTTGTGGGAACTAGAAGATGTCTATGCTTGATTGTTGCATTTATTCTAGTTTGTCCCCTAAAATGGAGGGGAAGAACGAATTTTGCATTATTTATTTATTTATTTTTTTGCAGTGGCTTCGCAAGTTGCTGAATATCAAAACAGTCTCATGTTAATCATGTCTAATGTGCTTTTCGTGAATGCTTTGTTATTAAAGGCGCTAACCTGTGCTCATAACTTACACAAGTTGGAAATATTTTAGAACTGTAACGAATTAGGACAAAGGAGATGAGTGTAACAAATGTATGCAGGGACTTTTCTTGAACTTCTATCCTGCAGAGAGAGTAACTTATCTCATCCCTGTTACTAATTTTCCAGGCGCAAGAGAGGAAAGAAGCTCTTAAGAAGGTTCCTGAACAAATTATTTTATCGGAGGTGCGGAAAATGGTGGAGGATATGCAGTCCTTGAATAAGAAGTTAGAAGAAACAGTAAGTAAAATATTGTTGTGCAGCTTGTATAGGTTTCTTATTGGTTTGTGATACAATGATGTGGAAGTAAATGAAACATTGGCCTCAGAATTTGGTTGAAATGGACATGATTTGTGAAATGAGTTGGATAATAACAACATATTCTTGGCATAGTTTCTTAAGTAAATGCCTAATTCAAAACTTCACGTAGATGTGGTTTAGTTGTTTGTGCAAATTTCACAATTTAAAATCCAAACATGTGACATGTGATGTATTGATTGGCTGAATGTATAGTTTGATCGTCATACTTCTTACACTGAACAAACAAAATATTGGTAGATATCTAACTAAATCTCCTGCTAGTCCAAACGTGTGGCATGTGCTAATTTTCATTCTTCTTATATATTTTTTTTCCTTTCTATTCATTCCCTTTCATCTTCTTTGGTAAAAAGCTTGGTAAACGGAGCTTTTCAGGTCTACACTTGCATGGTGCAGTCTAGAGATTTGGTACTAATTATACTTATTCGTTTCAAACGTTGTTTTCTTTTTCGTTCCCCTTGTTGGGGTGTTTGAGACATTTGAATATTTTTTTTCATTTCTCTGAACATTAGTTTGCTGGCCCAACAGGAAGCAGCCATTGAGGAACACTTTAAGCCGATAGACAAGGAAGCTGAGATTATAATGAAAACACAGCTCGAAGGTGAGGAGAAATCTATGAGAGAGATGGTGATGGCCATGCAGAGACAGGCTCTACTCGAGCAAGCTGAAGCCGAAAGAATTGCGAATTCGCGAAATTCTAACAAGACAGATCAAAGTATTCAACAACCAACAGACGTGGAAAAGAAAACCGAGACGGCTTAATCATGTCCGCCTTCCCCAGTTCTTTTAGTGTATCACAATGAGGTTTTATACTGGATAATTTTAAGTGTTTTCTTGAAATTCTAATGTCTGGAGAATGCAGTATCTTGTGTGGCAAGATTATGCTCAATTGGCCCTTCTGTGTTAGTTTTAACCAGTTTTGTTTAAGCTTATTTGTTATTTAGAGATGTTTAAGAAAGTTACCAAAGGAAGTTCCTCTGGTGTTTTTGTAAGAACTAACAATTATTCAAGAAGTCTTTTGAGAATATACAACTGATTACAGGTAGTTCTTGATTTTTCATAACTATAACATTTATAGAAAAATTCAAAATAAATATAACTTGATTTGATAATTTTTCTGACCGAAATTTTAATGAAATCAATTACCACTATTGCCAGATGTATACATTCTCTTTTCGAGAATTAAACCCGAAAAACAAGGAAACATAGAGATTAAACAATAACTGCTGCTCGTATTCGATTCTACATTCCCAAGAAATAAATAAACTGGAAGGCAATTTAGAAAAAGCTGTAATGGATTTTATTGCATAACAAAACTCTCATCTTCCAATGTAGACTATGACCCTCTAGCTTTTACACAAAAACATGAGCCCCAAGGAACACGAGAACTTTAACAGCAGCTAAACCATTAATTATGCAACACATCTTACTCAATAATATATGAAAAAACCCTTTTCATTCAACCATGCCCGGCTCTTTTGGCTGGTGAAGAGTTTCCAGGCACTCTTTGGCTCTATGAACCTTCGACTGGAGATAAAAACTCCCATTTTTCGCATTCCGTTCAAACAAGTTATCATACCTCTGCAAAAAAAAAAAATAAATAAACATGACAAAGTTCAAGATAGTGAAATTGCACATATATAAAGGAAACAACAAAAAGTCGCTACATGTTCAAGATAGTGAAAAGTACATTTTTGTTGCATGACCAAAGTATAATCGTGGTTTCACAAACAAAATATCAAAAGACGAGTAAATAAATCATATGAAAAAACCTTCAAGATCTCTTCCCAAGTTGAATTCTCAGTGACGCCAAGGATTTGCCTAGCTTCCGCATCGGTCATCATTTTACTGCTTGTCTTGATGTGTTGTGCTGCTTCTTGAGCAACACCGTTTTTTGAGGCATCTGCAATTTAAATGATTAATTAGCAGGCAATAAAGGGAAAACACCAACTGATTCTGAAAGCGAAGGAGGCTAAAGACTTAAACATGGTCTGAAAGATGACTTACTCATAAGTGCCTGACGATATGCTTGAACAAATGCTCTAGCCATTATTCCAGAGCCCATAACAATCAAATTAGCAAGAAGCTTTGCAGCCTGCAACAAGCACGTGTCAGAAAATGGAAAATGGGAAATAAATAAAAATTCAAATATCTTTAAATTTTTCTGAACATGTCTGTCATCCCAAGTCCAATTGTACAATTGTTCGTCACTTAGAGAAATGGTAATGCTCCGCAAATAAGTCACAACCTAGATTTTAGGTAAATCAAAGTATGCTAAACACATAAATTGCATATCCTACGAGCCATATTCAAATTTCATGGCCAAATTAACTAAAATGAAAGCCAAGCTTTAGTAAAAATTCGGGATTAAACGTTGTATTACTTTAATTGCGCCTGTGAAGGTGCCAAAAACATTGGAAGGAAGAAACTGTTTGATTTACTATTTCCAACATTTGAGTTTGTTAAAGGCGTATCGGTTTTACCTCAGTTTACATCAGTATACAGGACTTTCTACATTCCCTCACTAAAATCTTACTAAAAAAAATATGAATAAAGGTGTCCAAATAAATAAGCTAATAACCTAGGCATGAATCTAATTATATATGTGTATAAGATAGATATGACAAAGGAGCATACCATTGCTAGAAACAGAATCGAATCACCAACGGAGAGTTGAAGCAAACCTACAGAAGAAAGAGCAATATATTAAAAACAAAATTATGCTAAAGTGAAAGTGCATAAGTTAGTTGTTAGATTATGATCCAAGTGAAAGATAAGGTTAACCAGTTCATCTTAAAAACTAAAGCTGAAGACTGATCGAACTTCAAACTTTTTTTTTATCAAAAATATCATTTCCCAACCTGCTAATTTTGTAATGTTACACAATTTTCGACATTCCTTCTATCTACTTCAAAATGTATGCTTCATCAGGAAACACACGAAAGAAACAATTTTTATTTTAAGAGCTAACAATTCTTGAATAAACATGACTTAATGAAAACCTATCAACAATATTTTCAATCCAAAAGTAATGAAAACATAAAGAGATGAAGCCAAGTGGACCTCGCGATCTCACGAATTTCTGTTCCAACAGGACATGGGAACCCAAAAACATTTTCCAATTCACCAGCCAATTTCATATTTTTCACATTCCTACTATCTTAACTAAAAAAATCTCCTTTATCATGAAACAAGCCCCCAAAAAAAAAAAAATTGATTTTAGTATCTAACAATTATCATATACACAAAATTTATCCAAATAATTTTCATTTTTAATGGAAACTTACAAATAATATTTTCAATCCAAAAGTTAAAAAATAAAAATACGAAACCAACCTAGACATATTTTGCTATTCACCAACCAATCTTCAGATTCAAATAACAAAATAACCTCAAAACTCAATCAAATACACAACCTTAACGGCATAAAACACATTACCTATATCTTTATATCATATTATCGATTTGATACATGACTCAATATCTACGCACCGGAACACGAATGAGTTTTTCAACATACATAGCTCGATTCAGAAAGTCACAAAATTAGAGACCTAAAATAATTGAAGTAAATAAACCCAATAATCCAAACAATCAACTAAAAGAGAGGAAAAAAAAACCAGGATGATAAATGACTTTCTTTCCAAGAAAGAAAACGAAAAAAAAAAAGGACGGTAATTAGATAAATAAATTATGAACTGGAAAAAATTATTGACTTACGGAAATTTTACAGAAAGAAATGTTCCAAATTCCGCAAAGGATGTGTAAGTGCAAAAGGGCTTTTTAGAATGTCTTGGAGACTTGGAGATTGTGGAGAAAACGCAGAGGGTTTTGCTTGATGCGTAATTTGGCCACTCATAATAACCAACGCAATGGTCAAAGTTCTTGAAAGTTCCAATCTGCCCTTGTGTTTCATTAGCCAAGAATAGTTTCCTATTTATTGAACCATTTTATAATATTTGATTTGAGAAAATTACAAATTTAGTCTCAGAATTTTTGTTGTTTCCCATATTTGGTCTCAGACACCCTAATTATGGTCCTTTTTGAATTTTCGTTGCCAAAATGGTCCCACTCCGTCAAGATTTAACAGTCAACGCTTATACCCTAGGACTAAATGTGGGAAACAATAAAAGTTCTGGGACCAAATTTGTAATTTTCTCAAAGAGTAAGTGATAAAAATTATTTAAATTTATTTAATTAGAAACATTTTTTAAAAAAGTTTTTAATAAATGTTAAAAAGGTATATTACCATTCTTTCCTAACAATACATTTAGTTTATTTTATAATAAATTATAAAAGATAAATATAACTAACATACAATTCTTTCACATTTTTTTTTATTGTAAATTAAAGTTTAACTTGATTTTTTTTTACATAAAAAAGATTATTTAATTGGGTAACTTAACAAAAGGTGTATAAAATAATTTTATTAATTAGTTCATGATAAATGAGATGCAAAAAAAAAAATGATATATTTTACTATAAATAAGTGGGAGCAAATGTCTATTTTCACTTAATTTAATGCCAAATTTTTTTTATTATGCTTAAAATTAAAATTTTTTATGTAGATGTAATTTGCATAAATAAATAGATTTTTCAATTTATAGTTGACAAAATCAAATTTATAAATAAAAATTATTAAAATAAAAATAGACAGTAATAAAAAAAAATAGTTTAGATTGTGTTTTTTTTTAATTCGTATTATTTTATAAAGTTTGTAAGGATATATATAAATTACCACATTATACTAATATTTAAAAGTGTAGACGAATTAGTATTAATGTAAGCATACTCACATTTTTTCTTATTTTGATAAATTGGATTATGTCTTTTGGTTTGTTTTATTTAATTAAAATAATATTATTTCTAATTATTCTTTAATTTAAATAATATTCAAATAATTGTCAATATTTTTTAAGTAATGACGGTAAAAATATTAGAAAATAAAATAAATACCACTCAATTAGCAATTATATCGTTTACTTTTCCACCCCCAATTAAAATTTATCAACGCGCTTACTTTTCCACCCGATATTTATTTTGATAAAATAATTTTTAATATTTATTTCTCTCATCATATTCATAGTAAATTAATTTTATTATGTCATTTCGGCTTTGAGTTAATGAGAGAGACTTGAAGAACTTGAAGAACTCATTTTTATTTTTTTTTTGAAAAATTGCAAAATTGGTCCCCAAAAATTACAAAATTAGTCCAATCTAACGTTCTCACATGAGCCCCGTCAATCTTGACAGACGTGGGACCATTTTGGCAACGAAAATTCAAAAAGGACCATAATTGGCGTGCCTGGGACCAAATGTGGGAAACATCAAAAGTTCTGGGACCAAATTTGCAATTTTCTCTATTTGATTTATTGATTTTGTGTAGAAAATAATCTATATTAGACTTAGAGCAACTTTAACAACCACACTCCATAAACCTCCTTTTACACATCTCAACATGCCACGTCATCTAAAAACTCTAAACATATAAACCTTTTTTTTTTTTTGGTCGAAACGATAGAAAATTTATACAACAAACGCACAAATGTGCAAAGGTACAACTTGGAGCGCAGCCCAAAGCTGAATAAAATGGGAGGACAGGTCTGACGACCGCCTAGAAGCCCGACACTAGCAATCGCTAGAATCCAAACCAAGGCACTCAAAACAACCACACAACAAACGCACCAAAAAAACTACAACAAAAAGCTCCTCACAGGAGAATAGAGACAGGAGCTGGTCCCCACAGGACAATCAATTGCTCCCGCTCGCACAGAGGCCAACGGCCCAAACCAAAAACACAGACTCAAACGACACAAAACATCCAACACAAAAGAAAACTATATAAAACTAAGAAAACGAAGACAACTAAAATTAGAAAAGAGCCCTTCCACAGCAAATCTACCGAACAAACAGTCAACTCTAAGGTAACATCCATAGCTCGAGAAACTGCCGAAACTGCCGAAAGGCCTATCTGAAGCAGAATCCCACGCCGTGGACCAACCTGGGAGCAAACCCTCCCCTTCACACGAGGCCAGAGAAACC